CTTGAGCATTTTTTCCATTTCGTCTCTAGACACCTCTATGTGCTCTATGTTGTTCTCTGGAATTCATATTGTATCTGGTTCCCTGAAGATTTCATTTTGTACAAACACACTTCGGAACTTTTCGTTTATTGTTTCACACATTTCCTTTTCATCTTCCGTGAATCTATTTCCCATTTTCAACCTCTGAATATTATCCTTTACCTGCAATTTGTTGTTTATGAATTTATAGAATAGACCTGGTTCTGTTTTACATTTGTCTGCAATCCCTTTTTCAAAATTTCTTTCTGCCTCTCTCCTCACTGCCGTGTAGTTGTTTCTCGCATCTTTGTATCGCTGGTATGTTTGGGGGTTTGGCCTCTTCCTGTATTGATTCCATTTTTGTGTCTTTTGGTCTCTAGCCCTCTCGCAATTTCTATTGAACAAATCCTGTTTCCTAGTTCTGCATCTCTGTTTTGGTATAAATTTTTTTGTGCCTTTATCATATATTTCACAAAACTTGACATACATCTCATTCACTTCCTTGCCTAGCATCAAGTCTGTCCAATTATACTCACTAAAAAAATTTCTAAGGTCACCATAATGACCTCTCCTGAAGTCTGGTTTTTCAACTGCTTCAACCTCCTTATTTTCTTCCAGCTTATAACGCATTGCATACTTTATTCCCAAAAAGACATGGTCTCTTTTACCCAAGGGAGGAAGATACTGAATGTCAAATATCTCTTCCTCCTTCCTGGTAAATATCAAATCTAGCATGGAGGGAACGTCCCCTTCCCTCATCCTCGTAGCTTGTTTAACATGTTGATACAAGAATGTTTCCAGGATGAGGTCTACAAATTTACAGGTCCAAAAATCTTCTGTTTTAGCTTCATATGCTTCCCAGTCTATGGATTTCAAGTTGAAGTCACCGACTATCAACAGTCGTGATCTATCGTTATCCGCTCTCGCTATAATCGCTCTCATTATTGTTATAAGACCTTCACGTTTACTCTCTAGCTCCTCCTTTGACCATGTGCTGCTTGGCGGTGGACTATATGCATTTATTATCATTAGTTTATCATCCTCATGGCAGATCTCTAGTGCTATTATGTCAACTTCTTGTGGATTGGCAGTCATTATTTCGTTCACCTTTAGGTGTTCTTTTACCAGCACAGCAACGCCACCGCCTTTCCTAATTTTTCTGTCCCGTCTCCAAATTGAGTAGCCCCTTGGGAATATGACCTCATTTAAAATAACATCTTCAAGTTTTGTCTCCGTGAGTGCAACAATGTCTGGTGTCTGCAGCTGTATTACATCACTTAACTCCAGTATCTTCGATCTCACTCCATCTATGTTGGTGTATGCAATCTTCAGGAACTTGTTCCCCCTTTCCTTATTCTTCACTCCCCCTCTCACTAATGATCTTGTTGGTTTGCCTTTATGTACCACTTTACTGGTTTGCCTACCCCTATCACTTTGTAGAAAAAAGAATTTATTTCTTCTTCATTCCTGCTCTCATTTAAATGTTTTGCCTCGGCGAGGTTCAGTTTCAGCTTCTCTCTATCTTCTTTTGAAAGATCTCGTCTTAACGACCACCCTTTCCCATCCTCATCACTTTGCAATTTTCTAGCATTCCTTAGTACTTCTTCCATCTGTTTGGCACCGTTTAGGGTGATCCTCAAAGGTCGATCTTTCCCTTTTACGTACCTGCCTATTCTCCTGTAGTCACACACATTCTCTTTGGTTGTAAGACCTTCTACGAGGCCAACAATTTTATCTCCTACTTTAGCTTCTTCTACAGCTCTTTCTGACCTAGATGTTATCGCCTTTTCTTTGCAGCCAAAAATGATCAGGGACTTACTCCGATCAACTGTGTTTTGCACCAACTTCGGGTTAGATGCCAATTCTTTTCTCACTTCCAGCCTAATGTTTGTTTTATCTTGGTTGCTGCAGTGTTTGACTTCCTTTACTGCTTCTTCTATTTTTTCCTTCTCCTTGGCCACTTGTGCATAAGTGAGTTGCATATCTTTCTTGCACTGTTCTATTCCCTGTGTAACTTCCTCCATCTGTGCTGACAAAAGCTGTTTCTCCTGTTGAATTTCCTTGCCTAACCTATTGTAGTCATTTATGTTTAAATTTACTTTAACTTCTTCCAAAGCTATTTTTAAGAGTTTATTTTCTTCTTCCATGGCTTTGCAATTTGTTTCCAATTGATTCTTATCCTTGCGCAAGTCTTTCACTAAACCCTCAAGACATAAAACTTTGCTATTCAAATGGTCATTACTTTCTTTCAATTTACTAATTATTTCTACATGAGAGTTCACTATATTATCTAAATTTACCAACTTGTTATGTAGACTGCTAATATCAATGCTTTCTTCATTGAATCCCTCAAAATCAAGCTCTGTTTTGTTTTTCCCCTTGCCAGTGGCCATCTTGAATGTTCTTCTCTGCACTGTAAACACTAGGGCAACTTTTTCTCATCCGATTTTTCGCTTCCCTTGGCACTTTCCTGTTATCTCACCTATTTTTCAAGAGCACTATACCTTTATGTTCTCTGGGACACCACTCACTACCATCAACCTGTACTACAATACTTAGGATTGTTGAAATATGCTGGAGCTCCTCTGCTGCAAGTGTTGACCCTAGGGGTGTCACCTTTTAAGGGGTGGTTTATGGTGTTACATTACATTGAACGCTGGTTTTCTGTGGAAGCTACGTCAGCTTCCTGGAGCTACATAGCCCAACATATGTAAAAGGAGGACTTACCCAGGAGGTGGCCACACAGCGTGCCTCAACTCAAAGAAGAGACAACTGGCTGTAACCTGCGACCCAAGGCAGAAGAAGAAGAATACTTCTTCTTCTTCGACCAGAAGAACCCTAAGCCCTAGCACAACCCTTCCGGGAGGCCTAAAAATGACCACCCCGGATGACCACTACCAACAAATCCGAAAGACGAGGCTGCTTGCAGAAACTGAGTTACAGCACTCTCCGCAAACAACAAAGGACAAAAGGGGGATGAAAATCTAAAAGCCAGAGCCTAAGCCGATTCCAAGGAGGGAGGACAGACTGCCGACACGCAAGGCAAGAGGCAAAGAACAGACACACCACCTCCCGGAGCTTCGGCGCCAACAGCTTCAACAGCGCAGTCGACATCCTGGTTGCTGAAGCCAGTGCCCCAGACGAAGGCCCAACATTTAACACATCACATCCTCCCCAAGCCAGTCCAAGAATAACTCGAGAAGGAAAAAGGAGCACAAGACCAGGGCCAAATGCCTCACGAAAATCCTCGCATTTAAACGTGCGGATCTGGCAAAACCATGCCATGCTCCCCGAGAGAAGAAAGGGCAGTCTGCTACCCAAGAACTATCCGTAATACATTCAATACAGGGAAGAAGAGCAGAACTCAAACGAGGATGGATCCATCACAGAGGTATAATCCAAGTCTCGCAGGAGGTAAGCCGCAAGAGCCTCCTGAACTATATTAGGTGGGACGTGAGAGGCAGAAAATCTCCAGAAAGAGGGTGCCAAGAAACCCATGGGAACCCAGAACCGATCTCGGGGAGGAGACGATCCCAAATCATACTCGTACAGGGAAGAGGGGTAAGAAACCCCCCGCCCCCCCCTGCAACAACAAACCCCGTGATGGGGGCACCAAAACCCAAGCGGGATCAAAGGGGGTCCAAGCCCTCCAAGCCAACTCCTCCCCAACCCCGGGAGCTTACAAGCCAGGCCCCAGGAGCTTCTGAGCCAGGCCCCAGGAGCTTCTGAGCCAGGCCCCGGGAGCTTCTGGGCCAGGCCCCAGGAGCTTCTGAACCAGGCCTCGGGAGCTTCTGGGCCAGGCCCCAGGAGCTTCTGAACCAGGCCCCGGGAGCTTCTGGGCCAGGCCCCAGGAGCTTCTGAACCAGGCCCCGGGAGCTTCTGGGCCAGGCCCCAGGAGCTTCTGAACCATGCCCCGGGAGCTTCTGAGCCAGGCCCTGGGAGCTTATGAGCCAGGCCCCGGAAGCTTCTGAACCATGCCCCGGGAGCTTCTGAGCCAGGCCCCGGGAGCTTCTGAACCATGCCCCGGGAGCTTATGAGCCAGGCCCCGGGAGCTTCTGAACCATGCCCCGGGAGCTTCTGAGCCAGGCCCCGGGAGCTTCTGAACCATGCCCCGGGAGCTTCTGAGCCAGGCCCTGGGAGCTTATGAGCCAGGCCCTAGGGCAGAGCCATCCTCCATGCCCTCAACCCCTGAAGAAAAGGTAGATTCCAGGGAAGAGACAGCAAAGAAGGGGAGGGTCTGCTGGTACGGACCCAGAAGCCTCAGGAGGAGGAGAAGGCTCAAATGCCTCCATCTCCACTTCGAATGGGGCAGTCCCCAAAGCCGCCCCTAGTCTCATCACCAACTAAACCTTGCCCCAACTCCGAAACCCTCAGATGTTTGGGAGCCAGCAGCAGGGAATAAGGGTTAAACAAGGCGAACTACACCACCGAGGAAAGACCTGAAGGCCCAGACTGAACTGACTGAACAGCTAGACCAAAGATTAACTTTTGGAAGCTACTGAGAGAATTCTACATAAAAAGCAACAAAATCCTACATTATCTTGGAAGTCACCTCTAAAACCCGTGGTGACATTACCACTACACAGATTCAACTTGGAGACAGTAGGACTCGTTATTTTATCAGAGGGCCAAGGCCAAACTTTTCCCTGGTCCATACTCTCACTGCCCTTCCTTATTTTTTTAATAATCTGTTAACATTAGTTGTATGCATTAGGATAAAATTAATAATACATTTAATACAATGTCTTGTATTAAATTATGTTTACTCATAACTGACTTAACTGTTGGCTAATGTGTGTTAATATTGTGATTTCAAACATCAATGAAAAAATTTACATTTATACAAAGCTATAAATTTCCAATCACAATTCATTATTTTAATGATTAGTATTAATATTTGGTGTCAAGTAGATAGCCAAGTTTGTTACAAAGCAAAAACCAAATGTGCCCAAATATAAATAATTAAAAACACAATAACTAACCTTTAATTTCTCTGCCACTACCATCAGGAAGTATAACCCAAGGAATTGCCTTGTGCTGGTGAAGATCAATTTCATATATGATACCAGTACGATCATCCACTGCATACAGCTTTCCATTATAAACAATTAGCTCTGACAGTTCCATTCCTCGGCCTCCATGTGCCATATTGGACTTTAAAGTTATAATATCCTTGTCCCATTCAACACTGACTTCTTCATTCTCTATATTGACTGTAAGATGTCCCTGAAAGGAACACATTATTTAAGAAAGCTAATACAGACTGACTTCAGTAACCCAACTGTTGTTACTGTGGATACTTTGTATACCTTCGCTGACAATCACATACTGGCAGGCAATGCTTATCAGACTTGTGCACTAAGAACACAACCTCCATCTTGTTAAGCCCAATGTCATATTTTGGATTGCATTAGACAGGTCATTCATTACCAAATCATAAAATAAAAATAAAAATTACTTATCAGCCTAACAATCTCAGATTTTCATGAAATTTGAAAGGATGGTAAAAAACTTGAAATAACTTACATTTGCAAAATTTTAGTGCTAAATGATACACGATAATCATAAGAGCATGGTTGCCAAAATGAAAATCCAGCGACAAATGTAATGAAATGACAATTTCTGGGTGAGCCCTGGTAGTTCCATGAAGCTACTATCTCTGATAGTGCCATACTACTAGGTCCCATCATTTGCAAAGTTCTATGGCCTACTGGGTACCAAGAGCCAGAACCTGGCCCCCCCCCCCCCCCACAAGAGGCACAAGGAGCAGAGGCATTTACATATTAACACTTTTGTGGCCCGATGCCACACATCATAAAACCAAAATATGCAGTACAATATGTCCGATGACGCACACGGCGTCAACAATTTTAAAATTGGAAAAAATACATTTATTGTCCAAATGCTTTGGGACTTGTTTTAAAACGTGCGCCAACATCTTCCCCATGATCTGCATAACCCACATGGCATCCCCACCCCTGGGCCTTTTTCTGGAGCAGGTGGAGGAGTTCCACCTAATGTTCAACTTATGCTCTACAATCATTATTGTGCTTACAATCGCTGTAAGTACAGATATTTTTATTAATTAGTTTATACATATGATATTGTGGTACAAACACTTTTGAAGGAAGCAACACAAAAATGAATGAAATGGTGTCATAAACAATGTCGGGAATGAATAATGACTGAAAACAATGAAGAAAAGCATTTGTTTTTCACATGATGATGTAATTTATTTTATGGTATTGGTGATGATGTTTTAATATTTGTTCTTATATACAAATACAGTGGTACCTCGCATAACGAATTTAATCCGTTCCATGTTCGTCATGTGAAACGGACGTCATACAAAACGAGTGTCCCACACGTAACCAGTGTGATGCACTGTGTTTATTGTGAAATTTCCCCAGTGTGCATGACATCAAATGTTCCCCAAAATATAATTTTTCTTTGTGAAATGATAAATTACCGTCCCTGAACATGTCTATGTAAAAATAATTACCAAATTCCACTTACTTTGGCTGTGAGGGTGTGGACAAGGTGCGCTGTGACGTCATCAGGGGCTGGTCGCCCGTGTGTGAAGCTCCCAGACACGGTCGCGCAGGCCATTCAAGCTCCGCGTGTTGCCATAAACATATTTTCAAATATTTTTTCTATGCATTTCCAATGCGGTTTTATTTGTTTCTTTTATTGTATATGATGCATATTTGTGACCTTTACAATATGTATACAGTAGAATGTTCATAATTTTCCATGAAACTGTGATACATGTGTCAGTAATGTGTCCACAATAAAAGTTTATTGTCACAATATTACGTGGTAAAAATTCACTAAAATTACAATATGTACAGTTTCACATACTATTTACACAGTAACACACTGTATTACACACTCAGTACTTTGGAGGTGCGTAATAGTCAACGAAGTAGTCCATGGTACACAGCGCGACTTTGCTCTCCTTGCACCAGCTACAGATAGATTTTCGTTTCCTGTTTCATCGTTATGTGTGCTTGCAAATAACGCACTTACGTGCACCCTTGGCTTTAGTACTTGTAGGTGGTATGTAGCCAAGCTTGTAAAGCATAAAGTAGTATTGAAACGATTATAGGAAAAGCTCAATTTGTAAGGTAGTCTTGAAAAGATCGCTTTGTAAGGTCCCACACAGGAAGAGATTCAGCTAGCCTCAAAGAGTGTCCATCAGTCAGGAAGAGATTCAGGTATTCTTGAAAATATCAGTGAACAACACCACCATGGAAGTCGCTAACACTGTTCATCTATGCTACTTGTATCAGATGCATCATCACTGAACGCAGAAAACGATTCATCTATGTATCATCTATATACATTAGAGATGGCAAGGGTGGGGCTCAGAGCTACACCTGGATACGCTCGCTGTATCATCCTCATAGGTGCTGTATCACTGGCATCCGACCGTTGGGTTAAGCCCTTATTGCGCCAAGCTTCACCAATGTTATGACCCTTATGTTCTTCAAACAATAGGGTCTGAATTGCACGACTGAGCACAGTCTTTCAATACCGTGTGGGACAGGTGTTTGAGAGCCAAAGGCACGTGTGCTACAAATGGTTGCTCACGCAGTACTAACCCAGCCAGCAGCCCTTGTCTTTCATATTCGTTATAGCAAAAGGTTCGTTCAGTGTTTGTTGGGTAGGCTGCTCCATTATGACAATCTTTCTTTGTTTCAAATGTGTTCCATTTCTTTTGTATTTGTCCCTTACGTCTCAATAATGGAGCAGCCTACCCAACAAACACTGAACGAACCTTTATGACATTTGTCCATTTTTCAAATTGTTTCAACAGTTCTTTTATTTTTCGTTTTTTTTTTTTTTTTTAAGAAACATGGAGCAGCCTACCTGCCGACCACCGAACGAACCTTTTTGACATTTGTTGTATATCAGACATTTCATTTCTTTTTTCCTACAAAAACGTCAATGCTTTGCAACATCTCAGCAGTCACCCTTTTATATCCCAGCATCATTAGCATCTTTAAACAAGAACAACATAAGTTATGTGCATCGTCGCAGGCGTCTAAGAATGTGCAAGAAGCAGCGCGACCCCACCGTGTGGTGTTGACGTTACTCAAACCAGCGTTCGTCATACGGGACGATTTGACGCCGATCGGGCCGTTCGTTACCCAAAATATTTGTCTTTTGGGGCAATCGTTATGCGAGGTACCACTGTATTCCTTTAAATCATTCTATTGTGAACAATTTGATACCAAACTGAACAATGTAGCACAAAAACATATGTCAGAAAGCTGATAGGAGTATAAACATTTGAATGTAGTGGAGAGCTCACGGGCAATGCACGGACTACAGTGGCACCTCGACATACGATTGCCCCTACTTACGATAATTTCGAGTTACGATGTAAATTTCATCAAAAAATGCGACTCGACATCCGATGGTGTCGTCGACTTCCGATATTTGTTGGTACACGTTCAGGTCGACCGAGCGCGTGGATCCCGGTCACGCAGCCGACCTGCCTCAGTTTACTACAGCTGCCCGCTTAGTGACGATCGCGCCTATAAGAAATTCCGCTTTTGTGGTGATTTTTTGCATTTTGAACATTAAAGTAATTATTATATATCATGCCATGAGTCCCAGGAAAGTCAGTGGTAAGGCTCAACATGTGAAAACCCATGTAAGGATGACCATAGAGCAGAAACAAGAGTACAGAATGTCTCTTCCTCAACAATTAAGAAAATGTGTGCAGCATGGGAAGAATTGCAAACCTTTGCTGAAACGACTCGCCCAAATCAAGCTGCAGTAGGTCGTTGCCTTAACCTATTCAATGATACTGTGATGCATCATTACAGACAAATGTTAAAACGAAGGGAAAAACAAACGTCTCTTGACAAATTTGTAGTGAGACAAACAAGCACTGAACCACAACCAGGTCCTAGTGGTATTCAGGCAAAACGTAGGAGAGAGAGTATCCTAGAGAAAACATCACTGCCTGATGTGATAATGGAAGGGGACTCCCCCTTCCAAACAGTAACAACTCTCCTCCTCCCCCCTCATCACCATCTTCCATACGCCATCAAGAGCCCTCCATAAAGGTAAGAGAAACTTTGGTACTGTATTGTAGTTAGAAAAAAACATTGTATTCAGTATAAAATATATTTGCATGTTAATATTATGGAGGATGGGAAACGGATTAATTCAATTCCCTTTATTTCTTATGGGAAAAATCGCTTCGACTTACGATATTTCGACTTGCAATCCGTCTCTGGGAACGGATTAGCATCGTAAGTCGAGGCCCCATTGTACTTGGCTGAGCGCGGCAGGTCTAAAGTACAGAAAAGTGAGACTTGTATGTTCTTATATGCAAATACTTGAATTCCCTTAAAGCATTCTATCTGCGAACAATTTGACACCAAATTGAACAATGCAGCACTAATATTAAGGTCAGAAAGCTGAAAATAGTATTAACTGGTTTTGTGTGGTAGTGAGTTTACGCTCAACGCTCACCTTGAGATGAGCGGGGAAGGGGGAGGGGGGGGGGAGGGGGGTGGCATGTGCCGGGCACATGATAGTGTTAAGTTATTCATTTCACCCGAGGCCAGCTTCCTTCATGACCCAGCAGAAGGAAAAGTAATAATTATTAATTGCAACAATTATTATTATAATAATAATATAATTAATTATAATAATATAATTAATTAATAATTATTAAACTTCCTTCTGTTGGGTCACGAAGGAAGCCGCCTCGGGTGAAATGGGGCTGTGACGCTCTATGTCTGGAACACGTAGGTGCAGGGCTCAGACGTCCACCTCCTGGGACTCTTGCAGCCCAAGCTCTGCTTCGGGTGACTGGGGTTGTTCTAGCTCTTGCTGGGGTGGTGGTTCTCAGGCCCCAACCACGGCAGTCTCCAAGGTTGGAATCCCTGTGCCTACTTTTACCAACTTCGAGGTAAACTCTGAATCTGGAGCCGCTGGGTTAGTTCATTGTTACCTTCAACCTCACTCTGACAGTTCCTGAGATGGTACTGGAACCAACTGTAGTGGCGTTTGCTGTTCGATTCGAGACTTTCGGCTATGGAGAGGGGGGACCGGCTGCTTGGGTGACAGCTTCTCCCCCCCGTGTTAATCTACCCTGGTTTTGCACCCTTGAGGCGCCACTCCAGACCAACAACCAGAGCACAACTCCATAGTCTCCTGAGACTGATGGATGCCTACTACTACTATTCATTTATGACATCATC